AGGGAGAAACATTCAGATTGTCTCTGCTGCATTTAATGTTGAATTCTGTGGCAGAGACAATCCAAACATTTTCCCCTCCATTCACAGTGGAGCTGCTGCTCCCTTTATGGTCTCCCCCGGGCCCCTCCCTCCCTGGGTCTACCTTAAAGGGACAGGCTGCAGCAGCTCTGCTGTGAAGGAAGGGAGAAACGTTCGGATTGGGTGAGCGGGTCGAGCGGCTGGAAGAGGTGAGTGGTGACAGGGTGACCAGGCAAGTGTGGGCGGGTCCACCAGGGATTTTTGCCACTGGTTCAGAGAACTGATGCCAATCATCCCTGCCGGTTCAGCCGAACTAGGAGGTTTTCACCCCTGGTGTGAACCCAACCAAGATTTATTCAGGAGCTTCAAGAACAAAGTTTGGAGTGATATGTGAACTTGGTTTATCAGCTGTAAGAAGCTGAGTAGTATTGGGAGCCTATAGTAACAGGTCCTCATACCAGTGGCTACTGCAAAGGGAAAAGGCCATTTCTAAGCAACTGCAGAGGAAGGGGAGATTTTTCTAATCTGAAGCCTACTTTACCCCCTAAAAAGCTACCTCAGAATTTGAACTTATCCACGTACAACTTGGATTCCCTCTTGTAACTAGGCTACTATATCTACTAGCAAAGTAAGGGATCTGCCTATTTGTAAAAGATATTCAGCTCCTCCCACTTTTTGCCCCAGCAGCCAGGAGAGTCATTGGGAATACTGAAACCATATTAGGTAGCTAGCCAAAGGGCTCTATTTGCAACTGCTCTCAAGAAAAAAACAAGGCAACATGCAAGCAACTTTAGCCAGAATGGAGAACTGCCAAATTATCAATCCCGACAATCTCAGCCTACCATGTCCCTACCACCTGGGAAGAGTTCCCTACTCTTCCCTACCTGGTTCCAGGGCACGTTGATGTTGTATCCCTCTCCCCGACCTCTGCCCACTGCGTGACTGTCAGATTCTGGAAGGTGGGGCCAGAAATTCCCTCCTTCGTAGCGATGGATGGAGAAATAAAGGACGCTAGGAAAAGCAGTCACGGCAGATTCAGGCAGTGAAGAGAAACAAAGCCACTAGACCAGCCCCAGCCCCCTGAACCCAATCTGGGTGCAGCCTGTATTTAACCCCAAACTGATTTGCTCTGCTTTTGCCAGCTCTCCACATCCACTATAGAAATGTCCCAAGTTCTCCAGTTAAATAAAGCTCATCCCTCGATTAGTCACCTGGGATTGTCCTCAAAGAGGTATTGAAGGCCTTGCCCATGGTGCACATCCCAGTCAACGATAAGCACCCTGGAAGAGAAAGAAATGCAAACGTAATGAACGAAAAAGGAAGTAGATGAAATGTGCAGCATCTGGAAAAGTAAGCTAGCATCAATCCCGTTGCTAGCATCTCTTCAAGGAGTCATGGGAACTGTAGTCCTACGGTGGGCTGGGAGACATCTCCGCTCTCTCACTAAACTACTATTCCCAGGATTCCTTATAAAAGCAGTGATATTGTCAAGACCACTGATACAGGCATGGATTTCATGATTTAAAGTTCTAGGGGCAGTAACAGAATAGAAATGATTGTTTAGTAGATGTTCAATGGAAGACCAAAGTGGATTGTAACTGGGTAATGAGACACATCCTCCAAAAATTTAGCTGTGTGGAATGACTAGGACTAGTTGTTCAAATAACTAACACTTTGTATTTATTCAGCACCTTGGCTTATCATCCATCCATCCATCCATCCATCCATCCATCCATCCATCCATCCATCCATCCATCCACATAATGTAGAGGAATGGAAGAACATTGGCTCATGCTTGTGGCAAGCTGTCCAACAACCAGCCTTAACTGTTATCTTTCCTCTTCATAGCTACTCACCGCTCCACCCCCAATTTCTGTCGGGCATATTGTGCTGCAATGCCTACGTTGTTGAACATGCAGTAGCCATTCATCTTGCTGCGGTGAGCATGGTGTCCAGGAGGCCTGAAACCCAAAAGATACAGTGGCTTGATGTAGAATCAGAAAATCATAGCCCAGCCATTCAGGAAAAAAAGAAAAGAAGGCCTAAATGTTAATGTGACTACAGTGCGAGTTATCGATTGCTTTTTGCACCTTCTGCTCTGAATGCGAAAGAAACCATGCTTGGGCCACCATTCCCATACATCTTCAAGGACATAAAGTTTAAAAATTGTGAGGAGTCACTCTGGATACTTTCATATAAGGTTCTTACAATACGGTGTAAGTGAATATATTCTCATATGAAAAAAAATAGAGAGATTAAGGTATCACTTCTTTTTGATTCAATCATTATTTTTCTCACATCCTCTCACCTTTTCATTAAGAGAGGAAGACAGCAATACAATGCTTTGGGTTGTTAATTTTAAGATGGGTGAATTCCATCACGTATTTTCCTTCTGGATCGGCTAGAGGGGTAGTCAACCTTTTTATACCTACTGCCCACTTTTGTATCTCTGTTAGTAGTAAAATTTTCTAACCGCCCACCGGTTCCACAGTAATGGTGATTTTATGAAAACCTAATGAAAATGTTTTTAAATAATGCTATGAATTTTTTTTAAAAGTCAATTAAATTTTTTTAAAAGGAAAGTGCTTCAGTATCGGACAAAACCCCTACCGCCCACCATGAAAGCTGGAATGCCCACTAGTGGGCA